CATACCAAAATATTTTGATTTTTGAAAAAAGGACACAACCAAAGTAACATAAGAAAGACCAATATAAACCCAACATAAAACGTTATCACATAACAGGACCTCTCAAAGAAACAGCATGAAATCATACTCCCACTCCTGGCCTAACCCACCAGAGAGGATGTCCTGAGCATGCTCTATAGCCGGCCTAACCCACCGCGCTACATCCACGCTTTGTGACCACACTCCTATTTTTAATAAGAGGTCCTCAAGGTGAGTAACTCTTCAAAATAACCGAACTAAAACAAAACGCTTTTGTGAAAACGACTAACTAAATTCATGATTAAAAAACCGAATTACATAATTTTATAATATGTAAATCATACTTTGCAGTATATAGATCAGACACAACAACAAAGACGAACATCCAAAGACTAGATGATCCCATCACACTCGAACAAAAGAATGGCTAAACACAACCGACATGCCGTCCACAATCACAACTCAAAGGATTTAGAGTACGACTTGACTTCGCAGAAAAGGACTTCATTGAACTAGAACAATGACCACCTCGATGTTCAAGTATACGTACAGATCCGAGTTAAAAAGGCATCCCTTCCACACACGATCTTCACGCCATTCCCAGACGAAGTTGCACACAAAACAAGTTCTCTACATAATACAGAAAAACCTGTCATAGCAAACCATTTTGAAATCGGATTGATTTCATTGGGGATCACAGTCGATGTCGAATGACGACGTAACAATTTCCTATCCATAATTCTAGCGTCCTGGAACGTTCTTCTCCAAGAGGAACCGGACAAGAAAATGATGTTCGCCAAATACCAACGTTCATCATCCATCCTTCAAATTGCAGAGAAGAAAGATAGTTCTAAAAAACTCTGTAAACCCCGGTTGGGTGGAACCTAATCTAAACTACATTTTATTATTGGATAAATTAGATATTTTACCACTGTAAAGTATTTAATATTAACCAATCATGATCCATCTAACTAACAACCCTTTTATTTGTAAGTGCTGAAGTTACTTGTAATTTCAGCACCAGAGAGATTTGAATTTAACTTAGAGATTAGTTGTCTCTCCAAGAGAACTTCAGCAGCCGCAACAAACCAGTATACCCTAGATCTATTGAGCCTAGCAGAGACTAGTTAAACACCCTGAGACTAGAAAGTATAAGAGTAAGATTAGGATCGGTATAAGACTAAGAAGTTGCACGAATCTATCCGGCCGAAAATAAGATAGCGTGACGAGCAGACGGTGTACCCTATCCGAAATTACTCTATGAGTTAACCACATCGGTCCTAACTCATCTGGTGCGACCAAAAGTCTCGAATAAGACCTTAATAGCTTAGAATTAACCAAATATAGATTAGAAGTTAGACAAAACATTTTCAAAATGCTACACGATAATAACTTAATTGAAATGTCTCTACGACTCAATAGATCAGAGCAGATAATCCGAACAATACTAGAACTACCCGGTATTGGAAGAAGACCTCGGACAAGAGACGATATACGACTACGTAGAAACTTACCATTTAGTTTTATGGTTGTACGGCAAAAGCCAACACAAACTTTTATATTTAGAATCTTATTAGCAATGAATTTAGATTTTCATTTGCAAACTTAAAAATTTGAAGTAAATCTTCATGATCATTTCAGGCGCTAAACAAAATTAAGCAAGAATAAGAATTTTGTAAGAAGCAAGTAAACTTAGCCAGAATCTTGTAAGTTGTATGTATCTTTACATAAATGCGAAACCTACAAGAATTTGGCAGTAATAGACCAAATTGTACAAGTATTTTTTGAGAAAAAGGAGACGTATTTTATTCCAAGCAAACTGAAACCTGCTTGCAAGAGTCTTGCAAGAAGAAAGCAAGATGTGTGTTCTCCTATACAAATGGATAATGAACAAAATATTACTTTACAAATAATGCAAATTCTTCTAAATTTGTTTTCCAAGTACACTAGGGAGCTAACCATACCTTTGGCGCTTTAGCCGTTTTTTCCCGCGATCATAGACAAAATGAATTTTAATGAACTACATGAACTCTCGCGATAGACAAAAATGAACTGTTGCTTTTAAAAGGGCAGATGAAGACCAAATGTGTTTTACTTTGATTAATTTACACTGCTTTCATATTTCAAACAATTGGGTGCTTCAAACTTAATTTCCATTTGGTAGAAATAATTTGGTTGGGGGAGGAGATACAGTAAAAGAATACATTACGAGGCCAAACTGTGCACTGGATCGGCGCAAACAAATTGATCTTTTTAGGTCTTTGGAATCCAGAAAAAGTCTCTAATTATGTTAAAATTTTGTCGGTCCGATCAAAGAAAATGAAGGAAGAAAAGAAGAATGAAGGAAGCTTCTTTGTTGCGGAATCCGCCTACAATTCACAAAAAACACATTTTGGCCTCGCAATGAAATCGTTCAGAAAAAAAAACAGTTTAAAAAAGATTGACAAAAAACTTGATAAGTGAAAATTTTGTTTTAATCGAGTAGTGTTTTCTTATTTTGTCGTAATGCCCAGCAAATGTTACATGAAATATGACAAATGCAAATGTAGTGGCAGTGGGTGCTTGGTTTCAATGGGAGGTGCATGTATGTTATAAACGCACCCGCGCCCGCTGCAACTTCACTTGCACTTGTCTTAATCTATTTATCAATATTGATAAATATAAAGACAAAAACAAATATGACTTGAAGCTGAAACTTCTTCTTTTAATTTATTCAAATATCAATCTTTTTTAAACAAATTTTTTCTGAAGAGTTTTAAAAATATATGAAAAAAAGTCACAAGTAAAATATTATCTTTGAGTGTCAATATCTTACAGTGTTGAATTTTGCTAGTTGAAAATTGAATTTTGCCTGGAGAAAACAAACACCTCGAGCACAACTATTCTGTCAATTTCTTTAAAATTCCAGAACAATAATGAACGAGCGATTATATTTCAAAAAATCCAGAAAGTTTTGCTTCAAGAGTAATTTTCAAGTAGACCATTCTGCTCTAGATAAGGAGCAAAATAAAACTTAAAAAATAATGCAAAATACGCAGACTCAACATGTTTTGGCGTGCTGTCGATTAAGGGCTGAGTCTATTTAAAATTATCTCATTTGAAGAATTCAAGCTAATCGGTCGCCGTGTAGCTACTGATCGCTAATGGTTGTTAAGCGAGCCTTACTTTGCATCTGCATGTCAAAATAAAATCAAATTATAACTTCTTTGTTCTTGGGTAGTTTTTTTTAGCCTTTCTAGGCGGCTGAGAAACCCTGCGCATGTGGAGTATGCACCAAAAAACCCAAAATATTAGAAAAAATCTTCAGAAAGTTGCCAAAACAGAATGGTGGGCTCAATTGGGCAAAACGTTTCCTCCAGGGAAGAAATTTTTTGCCTAAATTAACTGATTTCAGTAAATGTTTTTATCAGTCCTAAAACTGTAAAAAGTTCGCTAAAAGTTGATAAGTTTGCACCGGCCTCCAGAAAATCGGTAACTCACCCCTGAATATTGCTGATATTTTTTCCGTTAAAAATACTGTCGCGGGCGGTTTTTTTAAACTTTAAATAGTAAAGCTCTTTTTCAAACTAAGGGTACTGCCAGTGGCTCCTCCTTTTCGCTGGCCAAAGGCAACTCTTTCTATGAAAAAATTACGACATGGTGGCGTCCCCCATGCTAGAGATACCAAATGCTTAAAATTTATTTTGGCTTATTTTCAGCCAATCAGAATTGAGTATTTAAAAATCTCAGGGAAATTGCAAAAATCTCAAACTAAGCAAATAAAACCATGCTATTATTGTCAAAATTGATCGATTAAATAATAAGCAGATGAATGAACTTCATACCGGATCGAAGGCTGATTGAAACAATTCAAATTTTAAATTTATTTTATCTGCACCTATTATATCTGCATCTAATCTAGTATATTTATTTTACTATGATTTTCTGTTAAAATTAACTTTGATTTTGCGAGATTTTGCGTTTAGCCAATAGGAATGGTTAGCGATATTGATGGTTAAAACGACGAATCACCACCTGCACTTATAAAGATGGACTAAAATTGATTTTAGCATCATGATAATCTGTAAAAACAATCTAATCAAGTCGATAGCAAATCCCTTTGAATTGATCCAATGTTGTAACGTAAACAAAGATAGCCGGTTACTGTGCAAGAAGCACAGAATGATCCGACCATAGTCTTTAGAAAATTACGGTTTAGAAACATTTTTTTCCCAAATTAGTGTAGTTTTTTCTGCTTGGTGTGATAAAAAGATCTGACGTAAAAATATAAATTAGGCATATTAGACAATCATAGTAAAATAAGCAAATTGGACAAAAGTTTTTGTAGAAAAAAATGTTTAATTAAACTTTCAAAAAATTTTTTCAAAGAATTTTTTCAAAAACTTTTTGAAGTTTTTGGTTCCCAAAACGCAGCTATAAACTCCAATAAACAGTTTTTTTTTGCTTAAACTTAAGTTGTAAGGTCTCAAATTAGGTATAGTTCAGCTTGTAAGCCAGCTCGCTTGCTTTATTCTCTCGAATTAATAGAAAAAAAATCAAAAATTTCAAACCGGTTTTTCTCGACACTGGGAAAAGTTTTTGAAATTTTTTTAATGTGGTTTCAATCGAGACTGAAAGGGCTTTATTATAATGTATCACTCAACAACTCAATCCGATCATTATTTGTGGTGCCTGATTTTGCGTTTAAACAAAAAGAAAAAAACTAAGACACACCCGAATACAAAGTTCCCCCCCCCCCCCCCATTTTTCACATACATTTTTTGAAACGTATTCATTTTTTAACCCAATAAACTCATTAAGCTAATTGCATTTATCAATTTCAGCGATTCAATTTTACCCTTGGAAAAATGCCATTCATACAATTTTTATGAATGAACATGGCATGATCAAAAGTTTTCCATACTCTATGCATGGCTTTATATGATAAGTTTTTTGATCTAGGGAGTTCAACCGAGTACCTATATTGTGTTTTTGTGTTTTAGCCCCCACTGGACCACTTCTGTTGCCCTCGTCTCTGCCGCACAATTCTTCCTCGCGTTTCCAGGTAAGGTTTCGACAAAGTTGGCAATCGGCTCTTTTTCCTACCCGCCTCCTCTATCTCGAATAAGCATCATTTTTTGGTGTAATGAATAGATTACCGGGTAAGGTATGTAGACCAAATATCAAATATGCCTGGAGTGAATTTATCAGACCGCAAGACATTTTGCAATTTCATTGTAATGTGCCGAGATGAACAAGTATTTTAATAGTAAAAATTCGGGGGGGGGATCATATCAGGTGGGAGGTGGGGGTCAATATATCTCTTCTCAGTTCATTCCGACTCTATGAATATCAAGAAATATATTGGTGTCTTTGTAAATCAGTTTGCGTCCGAGAACTAATTCAAACGTTTCAAACATCACTCAAATATAATTTGAAGCAAAAGGCAGTAGGGCGGCCCATACCGAGGTGATCGGAATATGCTTCAAAATTATTGGCCAAAAAATGTCCTTGAGCTTACAAAAAATTGTGCCTAAAATTTTGACACGTTTTCTTGACCTTCTAGACTGCCTAGACGGAGGAAAAAAGCTTTTGCTGCGATAGAAGCAAAATAATTCAAACTTACTTGCTGCTTTTAGTCACGAAATTGGAGTTTGGTCAAATTTTAACGTCTTTTCACGAGAGAATAATATAGACAAAAACAGGATGTAATCTTTTCTACAATCAATTAATTTTATATACATTACGAGTAGAAATTATACCTTTGTAAGACGCACCGTTTGTTGTGTGTGTATCTGTGGAAACCAAAGACAAAACTTAAAGGGTGTCAAATTCGACCGCCAATCGCACTAGAATTTCATGGATGAAAATATCTCAAATTTTAATTTGAGTTTTTTTGACAGTGCATGTCAGAGTGAAAAAATTATGATAAATAAAATTTGGATTATAATGCTTTTATTTAACAAAGCAATAAAGCCAATGGCAAATTAGTTATAATCGATTATTTTTTAAATACTAATTTTCAAAAAATTAGCTGAAAAAGTGCAGTCTTTTAGTCAAAATCTTCTAAAAAGTGCCCAAAATTAAATTTGTTATTTTTAAAATAAAAAGCATTTGTAGAGCGCATTAAATTTGTATGTTTGTGTTTTTTATGCAAGTATGTGAGACAGTACTACTTTTGACAGGGATCACGCGCCAAATAAAATATTTCCAAAAAATCTTCCAAAAATACCTTTTTTAACCTGTTTTTTTTTTTTGTCAAAAAATTGTCCGAAATCTGACGAAAAATTGGAGGCGGGGCGATAAAAAAGTTCAACGCGGGATGGGAAAATTGATTGGGGGTGGTGGGATAAGGAACCAAAGAGCAACTATTGAGGCAAAGTTTTGCACGATGCAAAAAAAAATAAATTGGAAAAAACCCCTTTTAACTGATTTTAAATGGTTGTAAAAAGTTTTAGTTTTTTTTTCATTTTATTTTCTGAGGGCAACAATGGATTATGATCATTTTTGTTTTCCATTTTAATGACTGAGGGCAATGAGAATCGGTTATTTTGTTAACAATCCATTATATTTAATTTTTTTTCACATTTCCTAGATGCGGGCAGATCTATATACCAAAAATTCGTGAAATCCCCAAGGAAAAAGTTTGTAACTCTAACATTGTTGTAATCACATAATAATTGCCGCAGAATCCAGAGCGAAAATTTTCTGTGGCATTTGCAACTTTTTTCACAATTTCATAAATAACTTTACGCAAACACGCACTCAATCAGCAATTTGCATTCACAATTGAAAGTTAGTTAGAGCTAGTTTGACTGTGAATAATTCAGACTTATAGCCAAAATCAAATCAGTTCACGTGAACCAAAACTAGGACAAAAAAATTAGAAAATAAACAGGCGCTGAACTTTGGATGACATCATGCTAAATTACATCAAGCATCTATCCTTTAACTATCAGGTTGAAATTTGAGATCGCAAAGTTTTTATTTTTTGCATTTGTGGTAAAAGAATTAAAATTTGTATGCTAGTTTTATCCCAAATGGTGATCGTTCCATTCTGTATGCTAAAAATTTTTTTAACTGCGGTATGTTTTATCCTAATTATTGATCATTTTATTTGATTTTGAAGCTACACAATGATTTGATGATTTTTTCTGAACTCCATTGCAGCAAAAACTGAATAACAAACCTTGTTACGCTTTCTCCCATGCCTTGTTGCAGAACCTAACACATACAAAAAAAGGTAAAATATGGCCTCGTACCCAAAACTATAATGATCGATTGACAAGGAAACTGGTGGCGTTCCTTGTGATTGAGGGACCGAATGCTCGATTTTTTTTCAGTTTTTTTTCAGCCAATCAGAAATAGATTATCAAAAGTCTCAAAAAAACCACAAAAACCTCAAACTCAGCAAATGAATCAGGAAATTGTTAATAAATTCAGCTTGTCAATGAGTTCACTGTCGGGGGTACTCTCATGATGGAGTGACCCAATAAATGAAAACTTTTAACTAATAAGAGTCGTACGACGTTCCTATTGACTACATGATTTTTGCACAAAACAGAAGTCATTATTAACAAAAAATAATTTATAGCACTAGAGCCAAGTTTCTTTGTATAATTCAGGCAGATATATATAAAAAAAAACTCTTTTAGTTTTCAAATAAAAAAAATCGGTTTTAAGTTTTTCCAACGAATTCGTTTTCGCAAATCTAAAAGTTGGTGTATCTGTTTATTTTGCAAACAATTGGATTCGTTTTTTTTTTCAGTTCAGATGCTTCGAGTCATCACGATATCTGACATAGTGGGCAATGCGTTCCTCAACAAAAGATCCTTCAGAAAAGTAATACTCACTTAGTTAACTTTATGTGGATTTCTATAGCCGAACGGCTGCAAATGCTAAGGCAAGGAGACTTTATTTGCGATAAGTTCTATCCATCAAAAAATTTCTGTGCCAAAAAAAGTCTTTAAAAAACTTATCGTTTTACACGCCTTTTTGTGTTTTTTTAAGTTCAAGCAGCGTTGATCAATTTTAAGAGTTGATGAACGCAGTAAAAGTCTCTTTTTTTTCAGGAGAAGTATTCAAGTTTGTTCGGGCTCAAATCTACTTTTTCGCGGTTTGACTTTTGATTTTTTTCTAAGTTAATTTCATTTCCTTTGTTGAAAGGAAGGCAATTTCCATTATCGAACAGCCAAATTGTGCAGGTCACGAAAAATGTGATCTAGTTTCGAAAATAGATCCAGGTTTCTCAAATTGGGTTTATTTTGTGAAAAAAGCGCCAATCATAATTTTTTCTTCAAAAAAACAAGTCAGTACTTTTTTTTCTGCATACTTGCGTTCATTGACTCTTTTCTAACTGTCTGTTGACTTCGTTTTTTATAAATTACATTTCTGGTTTATCGAAACTTCTGTTTTCTGATTGTTTGCAGATCCTGGTGTGTTTCTACCTAGTGTGCAGTCCTTTCATGCTAATGGGTACCAATCTGTTCTGGATAACCTCCCACATGCTAAATCTCATCTGCTACACATTCTTGTCCGCCTTCGCCTGCGTCTCCTGCTTCATATTCTTCGCATTCGGACTCTACTCAAAAAGTTAGCACTTCGCATTCTTATGTTTAACAGTTAAAAGTCAGTAATAGTCACAGTTTAACATCGTTTAGCGTCTCATATTGGTAGTGTAGTCTGCTATCCGATTTTAGGTAGCCAGCCCAATTTTAAGCAAGATTTGAGCGGTTTGATCTGTTTTTTCTAGACGATTATTCACATAATCTTGCTTTAGAATGAGTGGTTTGAGCGGTTTTTTACTTGATCTTTTAGGAGACGTTAGACGACCTTTAGGTTGGTTTTTGGCTGATATTTTCATACAAGGAGAGGTTAGAAGCTCAAAGTTTTAAAGGGTTGATTGTGTGTGCCCTGCAACGAATACATCGGGGGAACATTTTCGGAAAACAAATAAAAAAACAGCTCGAGATTTGAGCGGTTTGAGCTGTTCTTGCTACAATTTGCGACGTTTTGAACGGTTTGATCATTTTTTGTGAGAATTTGAGCGGTTTTTGAACGGTTTGAGCGGTTTGAGCGGTTTGAGCGCAGTCGTTTATATAAAGAACCACTCTTACCGCTCAAATCTTGAGCGGTTTTTAAGCGGGATCTCGACTAGGAGACATTTTAAAAATTGATTCTCCCAGATAGACACAGTGGAAATAATTAACCCATTCAATCCTTCCTCATGTATAGAAAAATTAATTTCCGTTGTTGGTCCGATGATGGTCTATTTTCTTGAAATATGTTACTGCGCATAAAACGTACACTGTTGTTCGCATTAGTCGTTCTGATAAACTCGATAGGCTACAAAAAATGCTGGCGCTTTTCCGACCCTTGAATCAAGCAAAAAGTTGTCACAGTTTCTGTACACATATGAGTAGCGTTGATTTCAACTCGTTTTTCACGTTTTTTACATTAGGCTAGCAATTTCCAAATACTGCTGCTTGAAGCTCCAGTTGCGTTATGGTGTGTGTTACATTGGTGGGTCAGCTTTGGTTTTTCCTACTACAAGTTAATTATGTATTCAATTGTGTTGCTGTTTAGTATAAAATTAGTCGACAACAGCGGCTGCAGCGGTGTATGATTCATCCAAGAAAACATGCAAGACACAGCTGTCATATTGCTGCTGATCGTAGTATTGATGTAGATCATCATTCCTTGTGTGGGGTATACTTGTGAAAAGGTCAAAATATTCTGGTAGGGTGATTTCAGTCAAAGGTCGTCCGATTCAATTTTTACATGGCTTTTTCTATGATGTGTAGACTAATTCTGATTGGCGCTGCCATTCCAATTGGATCGATTAGCGGCATTAGGTGAAGCGGCACTGACGAGATTACGCCGTCTTGGTTGTTTGTTTGCGAGGTCTTTGAGCTTGACCGTGTGGGAATATGATGGTTCGATTTCAGATTCTCTAAGGTTCTCCGAGAATAAGTTTTTAGAGTTCAAAATTTTCTAGCTGTTTCACTGTTATTTGACTGTTGTTCTTCTGGAATGAATCGAAAAAACAGATTCCTTGTTCGTTGTTGTCACTTTTGTCAATTTGAAACATGCCTCAGATCTGCATTGATGTTTGTCACTGAGCTGAAGTCGGTCATCGATTTGAATAAATTACTTTATATAGAAGTTGGCGTACACTGGCGGCTGTACCTTGGAGTTTTATGCTGCATTATTATCTACACATTTCCGTAGAGTTTAGATAGCTTAGATGGCATAAATAGGAAAACTTGTTGATGCAATCACATAGCGAGTGTATTCGAAAAAAAAAGTTTTTTGAAGAAAGCGAAGGAACTTGCGGTCTTTCTGTCGAATTATTTGCATGTACATTAATTCAATATCGGCCGGTCCTAAGATAAGCTTTTTGTCTAGACAGGCGAGGATTGGGGAAATTCTGGAGGGGATGTTTTCAAAAAAATTCTAAAAAGTCCCTAATTTGACCAAATTTTCTGCGCCGCAGACAAATTTTTGAAAAAACCCAAAAACGGCGTTTTTAGGCACTTTTTGGAAAATTTCGACCAAAAAATTGCGTTTTTTCGGCGCGCGCTCGCCGTTAAAGTTAGTATAGGTTGGCGTCGAAGGCGCCTTTAGAAAAATTTTAAGGTCAGTCAAGCCAAAAATGGATACCTCTAAATCGTACAAGGGGGACGCTTTGAGTCGGCAGGGGGTCGTCAAATCCCTGAGGGGGAGGGGGCGTCCCCTATAAATCCGCTACTGTGTCCAGACCAACACATTTGTAAATTGATATGGCGCTAGGTACTTTTCTTTGTTTGGGTTGTATCCAGCCAGTTGTCAGAGTTTTGCTGATATTCAGTCTGCCAATGTACTTTTCTGAGAGATCTTCTTTGATTGTGTCCTGCTAAAGTGTTTGCTTTTTTGGGTCCTTATCGATTTGGTTTTTTTTCCTGTAGTACTGGGCTATTGCTGTTCAGTAGTTAGATAATATACTAGTTTTCGGTTTCCAGGGCAGTCCAAACTCATAGCGGTTGTCATCTTTGTTGATTGTACTTCGTATTGTTTCGCCGGCTTTCTTTTCGGCGGCTGACTTTATAAATTCAAGTGATGTCCCGTAATTTGCAATTCTACTGAAGCTCGCGAGGAGTTCGGCTATTTGGTTGCCTTCTGTCGATGTCTGTAGAAAAATAAATTTGGCTTTTTTTGTATTAATTGCAGGAGTTGCTTTAAATTGTGCTGAACTTTTCTGGGTTGAGTTCAAATCAAAAGTAGCTTGTTTATTTTTGCAGTAGCACAAAACATGCCTTCTAAATGTGATGATACATGACAGTAGATCTAGTGGAAATAATTACGACCCTTCATCTTTTTCCCAGTGGATTCCCATTAAGATTCCAACATCCTGCAGAAAAAAATCAGTGAAGATTTTAACCTTTTTCCCCTTAAACCTTTTCTGAATCCCATTGACATTGAACTCTCTTCTAAGTCGATCAAGTGAAAAGAATTGCGCCTTGAAGATTATACCCTAATAGCTGTTGAAAATGCTAATTCGGTACTTGAATTAAGAGAATAGATAAGAAGACAACTGATTTAAGTAAGATCAAACGAGACAATGTCTTAGGTGAAATCCGAATGTGGCACATAATCCGAAGGCCAAACACCTGCTATTGAAATGAAATGACATGATTGACAAAAGGAACTATCATGAACTAAATAGACTTAGATATATGATTTAGCACTATGACATACCCTCTTGTAAAATAAATAAATAAACTGCACTTGTAAATAAATATACTGCACTGGTCATGGTTTGGATAAAATTAAGTACTCAAAGGAAAGTTTTTAAACATAAAGCTTAATTCCTACCTGCCGAACCTAGGTAGCGTAAGTCGCTGAGTTTAGGGCACTATTGAGAACCTGCAAAGTTTTCGTTCACTGCTAAAGTTTTAACGTACTCCTCGTGTTATGTGGTCAATCGTGACCCCGCCCATCTTTGTCACCGCCGTTCTTTTCCTGCTTGATTTTCAAGATGCCGTGTCACTTTCCGAGTCTTGGCTTGAGTAAGAGTCCAGTCGTTGCTTCGCCGTCCGCTTTTTCTTCCCGCCCGCCGCCGCCATTGCTTTCGGAGCTTCCTCCGTTATGTCGCCTTCGTTGTTGTTCCGTTTTTCCGTTTCCGACTTTTTACTCGCTCTTCCGGTCGCTGACGTGCTTGCCCCCTCATTCTGCTCCCCCTCCGGGTTCTCTATCATCATCCGCTCGCTCGCTCCGTTTCGTGCTTCGCCCCTCGAGTCTGTTCCATTAGTGGATTCTTTTGTCGGTCCTGCTTGTATTTCCGGCAACGATGCCAATTGCAGTTTTCCGCCGATCCTTCTTGTAGCCAACGGCTGGCTATCACTCTCAGACTCCGACTCTTGTTCGCTTATATAGGTCGCTCCGCCCCGCTTTGCTGATTTTCCCAATTTCGCTTCTTCGTCTCCGCGATCGCAATTTTCTTTCTTAAGCCCGCTGGCGTGGGTGGCTTAGGGATCCCTGCCGTTCGCTTTTTCGGCGTAGAGGCCTTTCGAACTGGAACCCCGGATTTCCTAAGCAAGGTACCATGATTGATTCATTTCAAGTGTGTGTGTGTACTTTCGGCGACAATTTTAGTATTCAATTTCCTGTACCTGCTCAAATTTTGGTCCCCAGTGCGCTGATACACTGTGCGAGATGGTCACGCTTCATCGCCCCCTTGTCCTTGAAAGGATGTAGCCGTTGGCTCATCTGTCTGACCCATGACCTGCCTCTGGGTTAGTATCAATGGGTGATTGCGCCTTGCATCTCCCCCGCACTCGTTATCGGAACGCATGCCCCAATGAGTGTCCACCGGCTTTGGCACGTCCTGGGCTTCCGCATCTTGCTCGTCTAAACATGCAGGCTTAGATTTTAGAAAATTCGACCAAAACATGTTCCTTAGAGATGGTTTTTAGTTAGATTTCGGAGTACGGTATTGGCCTCCCTGCCGTTATGTGCCTCAAATGGCGTTATTTTCAGAGTTGCATTTGGTTAAACTTTTAGTGCGCCCAGCGCTCATTCCACCATTTTCTCTAATGGTTCCGGGGTTTTCTCATGGCCGTTCGTTATAATATAGTTTTTTAAGCTTCCGATGGTTTTTTCTACGCAACCCGTGGCGCGGTGATCATTTACCGGCGACTGCATAGTTTCAAAATGTTTCGCCGGGGAAATTGAATGGGATTGATAAAACTGTACTAGATTTTGTACTGATGGTATCCGTTGTACTCGCATTTAAGGTCCCTTCTCCTGTTAGTTCTTCCATCTCGTCTCCGCTGCTGGTAATACTAGGATGCTTTGTAAGAGTTTTTGAATTTTTCTCGATGATTTGTCCATTGTTTTTATGTTCGGATTAGTATAACTTAACTCTGTTCTATTAATAGATTCCACATATCTGCTCTTAACAATAGTAATAGTTCCAACTATTCTATTTTTAGGCCCGAGTGATCGTCGGCATAACTTGTCACGTGACCGGTGGCGTATGCAAATTTCTGCGTTCCTATTGGCTGTCTTGTTGTAGCTTGATTTCTCGCCCTTTACCGTCGGCTTTTCTTTTCGAAAATTACATATTCTATAGCAATTGGCCAATTTCCGATTTAAACTTCCTTATTTACTATATTTGAGCATTTTTCGAGTTTGGTCTTTTATCCGAGGGTGCTTTTAATAGACCTAATTTTCGCGACAGTAAACATGCTGTCATATGTTGACACTGGCATAGCGTCGCTGTTCGGGTGTCTTGAAAGAAAATCCGCCAAACCAAATTTCGCCCCCGTCATATGTTCAACCTCAAAATCGAATTGTATTAGTCGGTCTAGCCATCGAGTTAGCCTGCTAAACATTGTTTTAATCTTCTTGTTATTCCCGTTCAATAGTGAGACTAGCGCCTTATGATCCGTTACTACTAAAAGTTTTCGCCCAACACGTAATTCCGAAAATACCGCGAGCATTTCTAATACTTTAGTCGATTAGCGTTTTTTGGCGTCGTTTAGAAAACATGATGCAAACGAAATCGGCCTCCAGACCTCGGTACTTAGTTGCTCTAGTACTGCCCCAATCCATTATGACTTGCGTCGCACACTATCTTAATATCCTTATGCACGTAAAGTATCTAAGTTCAACAATATTGGCTACCTGTTGTTTCAGATTCTCAAATGCTTCTTGGCACTCCGTACTCCAGTTATACTCGTTTTTCCAGCTTAACAGTGGCCTCAGCGGAGCTGAGGATTCCACAAGTGCTGACAAATATTTATGGAGGCTATGTATGGATCCCATAAATTATTTTAGTTGAGTTAGTGTGCGGGGTGGTTTTAATGCTTCAATCGGTTCAGTTTTCCGAATCAGTGGCGTTACCGCCGTGTGCGTGATCTTATGTCCGAGCCACTTGCATTGTTGTTGGGCGAAGTTACACTTTGTTAATTTCAACGACAAATTTTCCTTATCTAATTTTCTCCACGGTTGCTATATGTTCGATTTCCGATCCTTTTGTAACGACTAAAATGTCGTCAAAAAAAGCATGTGCCTGCGGATATTCCGAAAGGATGGAATCCATTACTCGTTGAAATTCCGCTGGCATCGTAGTTAGGCCGTAAAAACCGGTTTTCAATCTATACGTTCCGGTTGAGCGTCCGCCAACCAGAGAAAAATTACAATGTACGCTAGTATCTTGACTTAGAGGCAATTGTCCGTATGCGTATCTGAGGCCCATGGTAGAAAAGTATATTTCGCCCGACTTCTTTTCGCATATTGTTTGACCGACGGCGTCCATTAGTTCTTCAATATTCGGCATGTGGTACTTGTTTTTAGGTACTTGCTTGTTTAATTCACCTGCCTCCAGTGCCAATTTTAACGACCCGTCTTTCTTCACGGTGATTACAAGAGGCAATACAAAGTATTTATCTGAACAGTCTTTGAGACATTCTACAAGTCCCTGTTTAATTAATTTATCGATTTCCCCGTCGACCTTATCTTGCAGCGTTATTGGCACTCTTCGTCCGTTTTGTTGAATTGGGATCAACTTATTAAAAAATTCGGCCTGCACTTTATAACTGCGTATCTTCCCCACCCGGTTAAATAGATTAGGAAATAGCTTACTAAAATAGTCCTGCCACTTCTCCAATTGACTTTCTCCTTCATTCCCGACTGGTTCCCGTATTGACATCACTTCCTGGTCCGGCTTCCGTACTATCTGCAATCCTAAGTGTGGCATCAAGTCTCTCCCGATAATCGAGGGGCGTGCTCCTCCAATTACTTTTATAACAGCTCAGGTACTCCAACCATTCGACGCTAGATCCACCTTCATCGTACCCAGTAAGTTGATTGGGTTATTCCCATAATCTCGAAATTCTTGATCCTGTGGATCGACCTCCTGCAATCGTGTGCTTGCGGCGCCCAACGTTCTTCGAAGTTCGTTAATCGTGAATATGGAAATCGGCGAGCCGCTGTCGATCCACACACTGGTTTTTCGCCCGTTTATCGTGATTGGTAGTTTTGCCTCCGCTACTCGCAGTTCAATTTGATTTTTCTTCCGCACCGCCATCTCCATATAGTCTCCTCCCCCGAACTATCGGAATCCCAAGATCGGTTCCGCTTTTCTGCCGTCGGATTCACCCATCCCACTGAACTTTAGTGCTGTGATTCTTCGTCTCCCGTTTCTTCCGACTTTGAATCGATCCTGGTTTGCTTGCTCCTGGATGACGCCGACCGACAAATTTCCCCTCGTATTTTTCTTAGCGCGACACGTTCTTTCGAGATGCCCAGTTTTCCGGCAGAAATTACAGCTTACATTTCGAGCCGCACGATCATTCATGTGTTCTCTGGTGAATACGGGTTTGTCGCAGTTGAAGCACCTCCGGTCTCCGGTGCTGATGCCCACCCCCGGTACGATCCACGGGCTTGCACTTGGCTACGTCCTCAGCCTCGATTATTTCTATAACCACCCCGAATCGCTCCCACCGGCTCCGACTTGATACTAATTCCACCGCCTCCGGTACTACTCGACGCTGTGCATCCGGTTGTAACATAGGATTTAGCGTACTTATCTCCTCGCTCGTATGATAAAGCTAACCTGTACGTTTCTTCCGGAGTTTTTGTGGCCCGACCTTACTCGTTTTGTGCTTCGCGATTTGTCATATTTACAAAAAAGACGTCCCTTAACACTCTCGACTCCAATGCCCCAAATGCACATCGCGCTGCTGATCCACTAAGGACAGCGTGGAACTGCTCCAAGGATTCCCCGATTCTCTGCTTTCTAGATTATACCTGGAACATTTCGTACGTTTCGTTCCGCTCCTTTTTGAATTCCCCCTCCATAGCATCGAGCACCCGCGGATAGCGTGTCTCTCCCAATTCCAAGTGTGGTCTTAGTTTGTGCAATTCCTCCTGGCCCCTTTCCCCCAAGCAAAGGTATAGGTTCGATATTAGGGTTTGTTCCGCCGCTAATCTGTTTTTCCCGTCCACTTCTTCCGGTAAAGCCGCTATCTGCGCAGCCGTCAACGAGTCGGCGAAGTAGTAGTTTTTCGGGTTTTTAGAGTGTTTCGCAACCATTCCCCATTGGAAGTGATTAAGCAAAAATTCCCACAGCATGGGGGATTCCGTGTGTTTCGCCGGCCAAAATGAAACGATTTCAAGTGGGTTTTCCCCCCACTTACGACTGCTGTCTGCGCCATGTTGAAAAAGCTAATTCGATACTTGAATTAAGAGAATAGATAAGTAGACAATTGATTTAAGTAAGATCAAACGAGACAATGTTTTAGATGAAATCCGAAGGTAGCACACAATCCGAAGGCCAAACACCTGCTGTTGAAATGAAATGAAATGATTGACAAAAGGAACTACCATGACCTAAATAGACTTATTTAACTGATTTAGCACTATGACATTGATATCATGCTGATTTGTCAAGATTTAGATTTAAATCATCGTGCTAAAGTGTCGCAGACACTTTAAAAGTAGTTTTGCGCCAATAATAGCTTGAAAGTTACTGACCGAACGGAGCAATCAAAAATTAACAAATTATGGCGGTTGTAAACGTTATTTTTGTAGAAGTTTGAGGAAAAGAAATATGAAAAAAAGAGAGACAATGGGCATTAACACACTAATAAAAGCTCGCATTTTCTCCTATTTGCAGCAATTACGAAATGAGAGCTTTTATCATATTGATTATCTCCACTACCTTTTTTTGCACTCTTTCCTTAAGCTTTTGTGCAAGATTGCATTAAAAGTTTCATAGACGGTCAAATGTCATCAGCTTCAAAATAATTTCTATGTGGGCAAGGGATTCTTACTTTGGGCTGTTTGTGGTTGCAGTGGTGTTCTTCGTGGTGATGTTGAAGGGAAAGAGGATGAACATCTGTGAGATGATGCTACTCTTCCAGGCCAAATGGATACTCACCATAATCGTATTCCCAACAGGTAGATATAGCAAAACTAATTTTTTAAGTATCAAAGGAGCGGCGGTGAAGTGGTTAAGTCGCCTCATCTTAATTCAAAGGTCAGAGGTTTGAGACCCGCGATAATTGCTCGTTGCTGGAAGGCGAGGTAACCTTGCCCAGTCCAAAAAAAAACCAAAAGTTGGATGCAATTCTTAACACTGGGCACTACATCGGTTCTCTCTAAATAACAAACAGCTCGTCTGTTGATCCTTCTGCTTCTAAACGTGCGTAAACTGTGCTAAATCTAATTAAAATGACAAAAAAAAACTATTTGTTTTTTTTTTATTATTTACAAACAACCCCTGCATATTGTTTCATTAGTTAAGATAATTACCAATTTTTTGGCTGATTTATCTGGGCTGGCCTTACTATTATGCAACGAGCACCTACATCGTGGTGTGCTGCGTTTCATGAAATTTAAAAGATTTATAATGAAGTTTCACAATCAATTTGGATGTATAATGACCATAAACATTACAAGTTGAATTTCAAAATCCCAAAAACTTCAGAATTCATTTTTCATCAAAAACTTAACCTAAAAAACAGTAATCTTAAATACAATTATATATTAAAGCAAAAAAGTTTATTCAATGAGATTATAGTAAGATTTTGTGACAAAAAATAATTCAAAAACTATTTAAAAAACCTTACTAAAACTCGTAATTAGGTTTTGCAGTCATATCTCTATAAGGTTTTTGAAAGTATATGAACGTAGTTCGGACACTGATATAGGTCGCGATTTTTTTTGTTAAGAAACATTAAAATTCATTCAGGCTCAAATTTACTTTTTCACGGTTTAACATTTGATCGTTTTGACCATTTGAAAAATGGGGAGGAACTTTGTTTTCGGGTTTGCTTTAGTTTTTTCCAAGCAAAATCAAGTACCACAAATAATCACCGGACTGGGTTGAGTGATATATCAAATAAAGGCTCTTCCATTCATAATTCGAACCACATCAAAAAATTTACAAAGAACTCTCCAGTGTCGAGAAAAACCATTTTTGATTTTTCATCTTAAAGAGCCAATAAAGCAAGCGAATAACAGCTGAATTATGACTAACTTAGGACCTTAAAACTTAGTTTTAAGCAGATAAAACTAGTTATTGGAGTTTTCAAGCCTAAATTTGACAACCAAAAAATTCATAAAATTCAAAAATTTTCTGCAAAAAAAATATTTAAAAAAAAATTATTTTAAAATTTTTTTAAACGTTTTTCTAGTCATTTTTCTACAAACATTTTTTTGGCCAATTTGCCTGTTTTAACTATGACTGTCGAATACGCGTAAATAATATTTTTAGATCAGATCTTTTTATGACACTTGGCACAAAAAACCTTAGTTTCTGAACCGTAGTTTTCTTAAGACCATGGTCGGAACATTCTGTGCTACTTGCATCGAGACAGGCTATCCTTTTTTCTTTTTGAATTCAGTTCCATTTTTGTTTAGCAAAACCTCAACTTTGAAAAATGTATTTAATTATCAGATTACCAGTGAAATAAAAGTTTTACCAATTGATACAGTTTTCTCTAATTGGGTTAATTTTATCGAAAAAATGTAAATCAAAAAAAGCTCTACAAATTTTTCTCCATTTTTTTCAATTTTATGTTAATTTGCTGTCTGAAAAATTGCTAGTATAAAAAACAATGTGCTCACCATTTTTGAAATTTAACGTTTTTCAGTAACTTGATTTTTTATTTTTTGAAATTCGGAGAAAAATCAGTTGGCTTCTTTCATTATATTTTTTGAATTCATAGACATTTCTTATTTCCAATACTAGCCATGCTTTTCTGTTCTTAGTATCAATTAAGAAAGATTCACTTAGGTCGTGTTGTTTTTTCGTATTTTCGGGAAAAACGTTTTAAAAAACTTCCCCATTCAAATTCAAATTATTTTGGTTCGATTTTAATTTTTTTTTAAAACTCACTTTCTCACTGTAAAAGTTTGCTAAATCGAAGGTGTCTTTTTCTCTGAAATAATAAAAAAGTAAATGACGCATTAAAAAACCTGAATGATTTTTTTTTTTGTGAATTTTTGTTTTTAGATTTATCAGCAAAAAAATCAACATATCAATCCAATTTCGATTTGGGTTACTTCTACCAAAAAACTGTCAAACACAAAAAAGTTTGGAATTCAAAGAACAACTTATTTTTGAATGTATAAGAATTGAAAGTTTTTCACAAAAATGTCTTTTTTTCCAGACTCCATAAATTCTTGAGACTTTTGCAACTGTCTGCTGCCTCTGTTTCTTAATAGCCACAATTTTCTTATTTTCTATTTTGTTTTTCATTAGTTCATAAAGATTAATTTTGAATTATTGTTTAACGAACTCAATATTTTCTCCGATAATGAAACAGAAAATGCTGAAATATTATCTATTCAAATTCAGTTTTCAAAATGGTAATGCTTTTTGGATTCCCAAATCCATTGGTTGAGAAAAAAAAATTTTTTTTTACGATTTTTGAGTTTTGCAGTCTTTTGATTATCGTACGGTGTCTGCTAAACTTAAGTTGGTTGGCCTATAGAAAAAGTTGCCCATATAATGATTTTTTACTACAGCTATTGTAAATTGTGAAGTTCGAGAGTGTTTAAGAGTCGATGAACATAGTATGAACATATGACTTTTTTCGCTTTTTTTTATTAGAAAAAGTCTTGAAAATTGTTCAGGTTCAAAAATTACTTTTTCGCGTTTGAGCTTTGATTTCTTAAAGTTCAGTTCAATTCTTTTGTTAACAGAAAGGCAAACTCCAATATCAAACAGCAAAAGTTTTAAGGTCTCGAACAACGTGGTTGACATCTAGTTTCGAAAGTGGAACTTACTTTTCAGATTTCCCAGCGAGATAAAATTATTACTTATTAATCCAGTTTTCTCAAATTGGGTTATTTTTAGCAAAAGATCACCAAGCAAAAATTTTTCTAGATTTTCAAAGGGCTTTACGTGCATCTATTTTTTTATGGGAACTTCGAAAATTGAGGCTTTTTCAAAAAACAAGTTTTTATTGTTTACTTGCGTTCATTGACTTTTTTCTAACTGTCTGTTCGCTATGTTCAAACTTGGCCCGAACGTCTTTCATGAAGGTGTATCCGAGTTTAAATTTTTAACATTATTTTGCCTCTAATGTGTTTTTCTGGTTCTAGCTGCCATTTTTCTGTGTCTGGTGGACAAGGGAGTGTGCAACTTCCTCCTCCTCCTCAAGTCCAGCGACTCCACCTACGCTGGCATCCTCTTCTTCCAGATCTTCTGCTTCCTTCTCCCTCTCGGACTTCTGCTAGTCGCCAAGGGCGTCAACAGAGACCACAGCTACCAGAAGGAACCAGATTCACAACACCATTAAATTATTAATATGTATAGCATAAGGCATAAAGGCATACAAAACATAATTGTTTCAAAATCAACAGCAAATATGTCGGTGGATTTGTGCTCGTATCTAGGATTTTCACGAGAGTAAAGGATTTCTATTTTTTGGGTCGACCAAAACACAATTGGTTCAAAATCAACAGCAGATATGCGGATCAAACTCGAATCTGATTTGCACGAGTTGAAAAATGATCGACTAAATTTAATTATTTTCCGAGCTCGCCTAAAACTTTATGAAGACCCTAATTTTTGGAAGAAAAAAGAGGCCAAAAAAGACGTTGGGATATCATAAATTAGTACCAAAAAGGATTTTTTGGGAAACCAACAAAAATAAAGAACTGTCATAAATAAGTTTCCTGCGAGGAATCTCAAAAACAAGCTGCAATAACATAACTCTAAAAAAAAACGTACCGAATCCCACTGAAAATTGTGTGTCGAAAATGTGTCGGCAAAAGCAGTAATTTTTCTCTACAAATTTGAATCAGATCTTGAAATTGTACTAAAATAAGGCCGTCGTGTGTTCTTTGAAATCTCGCTCGGTCAAAAAACATACTAAAAATGAAATCTGTTTTCAATGTTTTTTCACATATCCTATCCAAAAGTTGTCGTTGTTCGTAAAGTTTATTGGTTGACTAATTGCTGGGAATATATTCTTTTGTAATTTTTTTGAACAAATTTCTATTTCAGTTATTTCTTGTTGATTTGAGATACCTGATGGCTATTTTGTAATGTGGTATAATTAGTAGCGAAAACTTCGGACAGAAAAAATTGAGCAATTGACCTGTTTTGGTAGAAATTTGTATCCAACTTTTAAATTATGAGACCAAATTATGAGCCTGAAAAAAAAAACGAAATTTAATTCAAAAATCTGTCAACATGAGACGAATGCTCTTTTTAATTAATTTTATCTGTTCAAATTTTTTGCAACTCTCTCTACAATAAATCTACTGGTGTGTGTGATTGGATGAACGAGTAGGACCCCTATGAGCAGGAGTACTTTGCAGCCCCTCTGAGGGGACTGAGTCACCAGAAGTGTGTGGTCACTCTATTTGGGGGCAGTCAACACATCCTCCTCCAGGACGAAGAAGAGGCACAACTGCACAGAAGTCAGTATAGTATAAAAAGTCAGAAAAAGTTGTAACAGACAGAATTAAGTAAAAAGAGCAAAAGAACTTTTTCATAAAATTTTTGCATGCAAAAGCTAATCTTCCAGAGAGAAAGTATGACTCAAGGCCAACTAAACACTAAATTTGCATGCAAAATTTGCTCAAAATGGCAGATTGCTCTTTTTAAATAATTGTAATTATTCCATGAGTTTGCTACTAATTCAAGTTAATGCCAAATTGTTGGAAATATCATTTTCGGTCAACACATTTAAACGAAAATAATTGATCTAAAACTGCTCATTTCGACGTTGGATTTTTTTTGCTGATTTTCACGCATTCAATAATTAACTTTAAAGTTTTCGACCAATTATATTGCTCTGAGTCACCGGTATTGCCAACAATTTAGTACCATTAACTATAAACTAAAAAAAAAACAAATGAAATTTTCAGAACGATTTTGCATGCAAAGCTAGTTTTCAGGACAAAGTTTAGGTCAAGAGGCATATTGCTCTATTAAATTTAGAGTATGTTTAAGTGTTAAAAAACGCTTTGGTTTTCAGTTAAAAGAACGCTTTGTTTTGATTCTGTTTTCGGTTTTTTTAAATCAAAAAGTCCTTCAGTTTCTTCACGCGAAAGTTTAGTTTTTTGTTGCTTAATTTTTTTGTTTTTGTGCTCACTGAATTTCAATCGATAAAAGGAAGGCAAGCTGCTCTACTAACAAACAGCAAACCGTACACGAATTTTAAACAAAAAACCTGAAAAAATTTTATTTTCAGAAATGGTCATTAAATAGTTCCATGCAGAATAACAATTTCTTTTCGATCCACTTTTCTCTAAATGAGGTAAGATGCCAAAAAAAATCCAATAAGCCAAAGAGCTTCAATGTGATAATGTTTATATTCCAAACTCGAAAGATGAAACATGTTCAGTAAACTTTTAATCAAACTTTCAAAACTTTAAAATTTTTTATCTGTCTGTTGGCTATGTTGTTCTTCTTTATAATAGGTTGCAAAATCAGTTTTAAAAGCAACCCATCAATTTTGAGCAACTTTTGCATTAATAAAAGAATTTTCAAGTGAGGATGAGGCATACTTTTGCGCACACAAACTGTTCAAAACAATTCCTTTATTCTTTTGGTTTGTTTTGTCTGCTCCAATTTTTATCAACTCGTTATCAGAAGTACAAAAGCGTAACAGATAGACATTATTTGAAAAGAGCAATTTGCCAAAATTAAACAAATTTAGCATGAATTTCTAAGTGACCGTGAGACAAATTTTCGGTCTAAAACGTTAGTTTTTGCATCCAAAAATTTCAGAAGTAAGTCATTTGCTGATTTATAGTTGAAGCCAAATTGTTGGCAATATATTTTTTGGCCAACAAAGCTGAATATATTTGAGAAGTATACATTAATCATCTTAAAGTTACTCTTTTTGTAGTCAGAAATTAGTTTCTCACTCATTTCGGCATGCAAAGTTGTGTCAAAAAAATCTAATTCATTTTGAAATTGAACGTCTGTTTGACCAATAAAGTTGCTAAAGGTCATCAATATTGCTAAAAAAAATTTCCTCAATAAATCCAAAAAAAACTATAAAAAAAATTTGTCATCTTTCAAATCTCTGGTTCAGATAAAATTAAATTTTACACAATAAACCGTCAAAACAAACAAAATCTTTCAAGATAACCATCTCTTGTTTAAAAAAATGCTGTTTACATCAGCCTCAAACTTTATTTAGAGGATCCTGAAACATGACAAATTTTTACTTTTATTTTCTTTCTTGTTTCTATTTTAATGATGCAATCTTTATGATACGATTTTTGGATAAAGTTACATTGTTATGGGAGGTTGCTGGTGAAATAGAGTTTTCTAAAATTTTATGTCAAGAATTGGTTTGGGCGAAAATTCGTAACAGGTGACACTTGTAACAGACAACAGTTCGTAACAAGCGACAATTCATAACAAGGCATTGACAAGTAGAAAACGCCCTCTCCATTGGGCTTAATATCCGGCATGAGAGGAAAATTGTACGTGAATCAGTGTTCCCGCATAACCTACTGTTACGAATTGTCACTTATTACGAATTATCGCCTCAGGCAAAAGTTGTTACTTCTTATTAAAGTCAATTTTTTTGCTCTGTTTTAGTTGATGCGGCATTATCAGGGATGGTTTCACTCCATTTAAACCAATTGATTTCTTTCTTAGTTTTTCTTAGGTTAATGAACGCTTCAGAAAAACAACGAATTTTTTTGGGTAACCTACAGAAACTTTTAGATAAATTTCTTCAAAATAAATCGATTGAATTATTGAGATTTTAAAAATACTGCAATGACTTTTAGGACTTAGTATAATAAAATGACTAGCAGCGACGGAAACCGAACACACCCTGGCATCATTTGTACCCTAAATCATTAGAAAGCTTGGTGTGACCGCGCTCAACTCAAAACATCTTCTAAATGGTCAAAGATGATAATGAATGGAGTTCATTCCGGAAACGAAATTAACCGCACAATTTAGTCATTATAATCGTTTAAATATTTTAAAAAGTCAGCACATTCACGGCTAGAATGTGGTAACTTAAAACCATTTTTGGGATATACGATGAAATCACATACAGACGGCAATAACCTGTCAGACAAGGTTTTTTTTCTATGTTTTATTATTAGTTTTAGTTATATATACATTTTGGTTTGGGTAAAAAACATTGGTTTTTTGGGGTTCAAACCTTCGCCGAATGGGTCCGGTCAGGTTTTAGGTTTTGTTCTAGACCGCTCGGCCAACTGGTCTTAACTTAGCTGAATTTGGTCGCTTTTAGATTCTCGCTTATGAAAGTTTATTTGCGTGGCAACACTTGCGGTCCTCTACTGTTTTCTCGCCAGCTCTTTCTGTGTTTTTAGGTATGTCTGTGTTTGCCCTTTAACATAAAAATTGCAAACATATTTAAATTAAGATAAAGTTTTGTTAAATTAATTGTTACATCTACAATCAGAAGCGGATCTAAGATTTTCTCGAAGGTGTGGATATTTAAATTCTAATTTTTGTCGACCTAATTTTAGTTCAATCGAACTGATTTTTTGAGACTTCTCGAGTAAAAAAAACTTCTTTGGCCTAATAATTTGCACGGCAGGCGAATTTTTGAAAGAAAAACAGGCCAAAAAAGCTGTTTTTAGGGCGGTTTTAAGCACTTTTTGGAATATTTTGACAAAAAAGTTTCGTTTTTTGGCGCGCACTCCCCCTTAGCAATAGCATGCATTGGCGCCAAAGAAAAACTATATGGTCCAGTTAGCCAAAAGCAGCTATCTCAAAATAGTATGAAGGGGGGACGGTAGTACCCTTTTGGGTCGGCAGGGGGTCAAATCCTTGAGGGTGGGAGAGAGGGAGTGTACTTTCCCCCTAAATTCGCTACTGATTACAATTAACCAATTAACAATTAGTTTCGGCGCGGATGAAAAATCCACTATCAAGGAACCAACAAACCGTTAATAATTCCCAAGAATTGTTATAGAGTCATCATCGTAGTGAATACTCTGATATAGGTCTTGGTGATTTTTTTTTTGCTATTTTTTGTCTTAAAATTTGTTCACAATGTGATTTTTCAAGAAAACAAAATAAGAAAAAAATTTCAATTTCGCAAAAATTTTTGAAGCCAATGAACGTAACTCAGAATCTAATCTAAGTCGCGATGATTTTTTATAGTTTTTTTCAGGAAACGTTTTAACGTTTGTTCAGGCTCGAACTCATTCATTTTTTTGCTGTTTGACTTTGGCTTTTTTCGAAATTGGTTCGTTTCCTTTGTCCAAAGGTCCAAAGCAAAGCAATCTACACTACTGAACACCAAAAGTCCCAACTAAACGTGATCGATTTTCAGTTCTGAAAAATTAAAAGTTCAAACTTCCCAGCGGAATAAAAATTTTACCAATTGATTCATTTTTCTCAAATTGAGTTGATTTAATCAAAAAGAAACCTCTATAATAAATTGTTCTTAGAATTCAAAGAACATGGTGCCATATAAATTTCTCTTTGAAATTCAAATATTAAGTTTTCTGTTAACTTGCGTTCCTTGACTCTTTTCCAACTGTATAATGGTTTTTTATCTCCAAATTGACATATCTGATATTTAATACTTAGATCCAATAATTTCAATATGTTAAATTCACAGTGCCAAACTTCCAGTACCTCAGCTCAAATACTTCATGAGAAATTCTACTTTAATTTCAAGAACTTTATCTCAAAGACCCTGTAGTTTATCAGTTATTTTTATCATTTTTCTATCTAGCAGTAAAAGTTGCTTCAACTGTCTATATTTCGCACAGCAAACTTCTTCAGCCCCAAAAACAGTTCATCAAGTTTCCTTCGTCTGAGCTTCTCGATTTCTCTTTTTGTGTGGCTGTCTTCTGGATTGTACGCGAGAAAACTCTCATGTAACGACAGTCCGCATTTGGGCGGCGGTGATTTGAGGTCTGAATGTCTCTCGTTCAGGTCTTCACTGGTGATTTCGTGGTCGCTGCTGTCGTCTTCGGACACTTCGAAAAACTTCAGCTTCTGCTTCGTTTTCTGTTAAACAATAATTAAGAATATTTATCATTGTGCGGAAAATAGCGCGAAAAATAAATTGATTTTACTTCTTCAACAGTTTTGTCGTAATCAACTTAGTTTTTACCCGTACAGAAATAAAATAAAAATACAGATATGCCCAGGGTTAATCCATTTGTTGTGAGATTGCATATCTGCCCTGAACTGTATCAGACATGTTCAGACCTGGAAGATACAACAATTTTAATGTTACGGAAATAAAATAAAAATGAATGTCATATTTGAAAAAGAAGGAACAGAAATATTAACAATATAACAATTTTTCGAGCAATATAACTCCAAATCTGACTTATAGGCTCTTTTCCAGTTTCCACACCCCTGTTTTCTCAAGTTCAATATTTGAAAATTTTTAAAAACGACTTCTAATGTCATAAACTTCGTTGGGGGTTGGGAAATTGGAAAAGAGCCCAATTATGTGGTTCATTTTCTTGTTCTTCAACATCTAGCAAGTGTTTTAGTTAAAATATTGAAAATAAAACATTTAAATAAATCTTTTAAACAGCTTGTTTTTTTGCCTTGTTTGCAAAAAAAATTGATCAAAACTGTTTTTAGACCCTTGAATCGATCTGCCCCGGAGTCTTTTTGAAGTTTTAGTGAGTGGAAATCTATCCAACAAAAACTTGGAAACCAGATCTGAACATCGTAAAATCTTGCCTATTTCAGATCTTGTCCAGCCATGGTGCATGTTTCGTTTGGACATGGACATGTCTGAATCAGGACTGAGGCAGGCATGGATTCCATCACAAAAGCAGATCTGCTCAAGGCCTGATTCAGACCTGGGGCACACATGGGTCAGACCTGCTGCAGATCTGCAGCAGGTCTGACCCATGTGTGCCCCAGGTCTGAATCAGGCCTTGAGCAGATCTGCTTTTGTGATGGAATCCATGCCTGCCTCAGTCCTGATTCAGACATGTCCATGTCCAAACGAAACATGCACCATGTCTGGACAAGATCTGAAATAGGCAAGATTTTACGATGCTCAGATCTGGTTTCCAAGTTTTTGTAAGGTACGGGTATAGCGTTGAGGTTTTGTTTGGATGCCTGGGTTAAAAGTTTCAGTGATCAGTTAGTTTTTTATGATTTTTTGGGGTTTTTTAGCAATACGCCTGACCTGTTTCTTGCACCAATGTCTATAGTATCGCTCCGTGTCAACTTCCAGCCGCGGTTCACCAGTGTCCCCATGCTCGCCTTGATCCGCTTCTCCCTCCCCTTTCATCCCAGACCTGTTCGAGACTTGACTTCCCCTCCGACTTATTCCAAAAGGCGACATCCCCGAAAATTGGTAGAGCATCTGGAAATCTTGAGCGTGTATTGGCGACGCCATACTCTCGGAATCCGAACGATTGAAATCAGTTTCCTCGTCAATGACATTGAAATGAAGTCCAGGAACAGGTAGACTCTTTTTTTTACTCATCGCAATTGAATTCTTTCTAGATTTCGATTCAGACATTTTTCTTTGGAGCATGTCAAAATCGGGATTTAATTTGTTCATCGACATCTTGCGGCGGTTGCTCTGTCTAGACAAACTGTCTCGCGCTGAGTTTTGTCTGGAAGGATGTCTAGATTTCACGACGGACATTCTGGATCCAGCTCTACTTACAGGCAGAAGTCTGTTTGGGTCTCGATGTTTGTGGTCTGCCGAATGGCCAGGAGTTCTTTCGTCTTCCAAGTCGTGTTTAGAAATAGGCAGTTTTGTCCAGGTTGGAGTTAATGGGAAGGAAATGTCTTCAAAGAAGTCTGAAATATAATTTTACACGCCATTGAAACAAATTCACTTTTTGAGATTTTGCGGAATAGTTTTTTTTTATTAAAGTAATAAATTATTTTACATTTTTTGCATTGTTTTCTCTTTTTCCCATGTTATTGGATTGTTTTTCTAAAACTCTATAATCGGAGATCATTTAAAGCTTTTTTGAAAATTTGTTCTTTTGATTGTTTATCCAACTGATTATTAAAATGTCATAACTCAATTATATTTGGCCGGTTGTCAAAATTTTTTTACCGGTGATGCTGACCCAGTTTTTAGTTTTGATGGCATCAAAAACAGTTTATTTCACTCACCGATTTTCAAAATTGGCTTTATTCCCAAAGTATGTTCCCTCAAAGCTTGATCCTTCATGTGCTCTTGGCCCACGTATTTATCAATCAGACAGGTATCTCTTTCCCTCGACCACGTGAAGCTTCGCGTCTCCATCGTCTTCGGGTCGACTCGCGGCAACAATTTGGAGAAATTTACAAACCCTTCCGGAAGTGGTTTGGGCTTCTCGCTTTCAACTACAGGTGGTAAGATAACTTTTGGTTTTTTCTTCTTTTTCTTTTTTGGTTTTTCTTTCATAGATTTCAGAATAGATTGAATTTGGCCCATGTTTTTGATGAGTTTCATTCGTCTATCCGTCCATAAGTTTCGCAGTCGAGGTCCTTTCGGCTTCTCGAACATTTGCTGGATGCCGATCACTTTCGAGATTAGGTTTTCACGCATCAATTCCTCGGCTCCGGCGTCGTACCTGAACAAAACATGATCAATTAGCCTAAACGTTTCTTTATGACCACAAAGCAATTAGGCCATCGTACCTTGTGCTTTAGCTATACGCGGTTCCTCGGACCAATCAAAGGGTCTTCTCATTGTTGCTATTTTAAGACATCCATGATTTTTGACCGAATGACCCTAAAATCCGACACCGAACCCCCCTCGAAAAAACTACGATCCGCGCCTGTACAAAAAAAGGTATGGTATGGTACAAAAAATTCGCCACCTGCAATCTTTCGTACTTAATAGAAGAATTTTGACGAGTTCTGAATTCCTGAAGAAATCAGGATGTTTTAAAAAGAGGCTGGTAGGATTTGCATTTGAAAAAAATTTCTTATTGACTGACTTTGTTTTCAAAAATTTCCGGTACCTGAAAAAAATTCGAGTGTTTTTTTGACTTACAGTTGTGGACTTTTGTCGATTTTGTCTCTTTCGTGTCTCCATGAGTTATACTGGTTAAGAACTCTACTGATTCCATCGTCCAACACCTCGTCAAAGGACTCTTTGAAGTCAGTAGACTGAATTGAAACCACCATTCTGAGCCAGTTACTCTCACAAACACCACTTTATAATGAATATTAAAAGTCTTTATACAGTCGCATTAGATCAGCTGAAATTAATTGCCATATGTAATAATATCAGGTATAAAATATGGTCTAGAAGACAGCAAAGCAAAACTGTAGATGTTTTCAATTCAAAACCACCATCTTTGAAGACAAGCCATTTTATTGTACCTGAACTGCGAGCTGAGTATTTTGAACAATCGCGCCAGGTCACAATTTGTTATTCTTTGCAAAAAAAATAAACATAAACAACAATAGCCTGTTTTTCAATATCTCAGCCTGACCTCGTTTTTGAAAAAAAAGAGGATTGGGTCAGAAGTTACTTAATGAAATGAAAATGAAAGCTGAATTAGTTAACGAAAACTGCTTTGGTCGACTATCATCTTCTGATTAAAAACAAATAAACTTTTTTTCAACCAAAAAATTAGTTCTCTGAAGAGTAATGAACAGAGTGAAGACTATTATATAGGTCGTGCTGATTTTTTTTGTTTTTTTTTTCAGGAAAAGTCTTAAAATATGGATGTACTTAGGTATAATGCACTTTTTGAGTTGAATTAAAATTCATCTGCTAAAAGTTACATAAATAGCATTCTCCAAATACGAACGTGGAAATGGCGCAAAAAAAACGTGAACGATTTCTAGTTTCAAAAGTGGAATTTAGTTTTTAGATTTCCAGCGGAATAAAAATTTTACCGACTGATACAGTTTTTTCAAGTTGGTTTAATTTTTTCTAAAAACGCCAATCCTAAATTTGTCTAGAATTTCAAAGAGCTTAAAAGGCATCCACTTTTTCTTTCGAAAATTGAGATTTTTTCAAGAAAGGAAGTGTTTTTTAGGTTTACTTGCGTTCATTACTTTTTCCCATCTTCGATTGCGGATATGTAAATAAGGTTGATGTTAGATTTGCAGTCACTTGGACAACGGTTTCTGAGGAACTTTTACAGCACAGCATTTTCTAATCATTTTATTCATCGACAGATAATTATGTTCATAATTTAAAAAGATGTCAAATAGTAAAGAAGGTGTGTTATTTGAGTCTCAGTTATAACGATAAGTTTTTTTGAAAGAAAATTAAACAAGTGTCGAATTATGAAAATCAAAGTGAAACCATCCCTCTTTACTTCTTCCGGCGGTCTCGCCACCTTCGCCGAAGACGACGAAGAAGAGTACAATGAGATGGGAACCACCGCCGCCCCCACCACCCAAGCCCCCTCCACCGCCGGCCAGGGGGGAACAGGGGGGACGGGAGTTGAAGTCGAAGAGACAAGACCACCTTCGGTACCTCAGTCATCGGCACCCCCACCAACTAACGTGGACTACGCGGAGCTGTTTGGGGATAATAACCTGGGCGCGGAAAAAATGGACGAGTCTAATTATAAATTGATTCCCCGTGGCAATGATAGTGTTGCGGGCAGCTTGAAGGGGGGATCAGTGGCAGGGGATTAACCCAGAAGCTGAAGAAAAAGGTTTTAAAAACATCAGATAGCGATAACTTTGCCTAGCAAAAAAATAACTTAAGATAAACTTTTCATAGAAAAAAGCAGAACAACTCTCTTTGATTTGAAGTTGAGCCAATATACAGTTTTTTGAATTGATATATCGGATGTATATAGCTCAAAAGATCGAATTTGTAATAAGATGATTCAACGTCATTAACCAATGACTTAAAAAGGTTTTTAAGAACAAAGCACTGGTTCTTGGTCCTTATCAAAAAGTGTAAACCGCTTATTCTGATCTTTAAGCTATGCACTCTTAAATCGGTGGTATCTTACCAACAGTCCTATTGGTGCTTGAATTCAGAACATTTGCAACCTAAACAAAAAACCACCTATGAATTTGCTTCAAACGAATCTTCATTCGCGTATAGTGATTTTTCTGTTGCTAATAATAAAACAAATAAAAATGCCAGCTGTTTTTTGAAAGCAGCTAAAAGTAGCAACCCGAAGCACTAAGAAGTTCGCTTATAATTTTCCCAGGACAGGTGGACACTTTTTTCAATTTTTTTTTGCAAAAAATTTTGTGATTCATCTAAGCATGAGCGATGCAGTTTCCAATTTAGGCAAAATGACCTTGTAGCATTTTGGTCACCTCTATTTTTAAAAATACTACATCCAAAAATTTTTTGTCTTTCCTTAGTAAAGTTTTTGTTCAATCCTTTTCAATGCCAGTGTCACATTCTATTTTTGATTTAAGGGCACTAAAAATGTGTCAGAAAGGCTCACACTTAAAAAATGAATCACCACCTGCACTTATATAGATGGACTAAGGTTGATTTTAGTATCATGAAAAACTATAGAAAACAATGTAATCAAGTCGATGGGAAAATCACTTTAAATTGGTCTAATGTTATAACTAAAACAAGGATAGCCGGTTACTGTCCAAGTAGCACAGAATGTTCCGACCATAGTCTTTAGAAAACTACGGTTTTGAATTTTTTCCAAATTAGTGTAGTTTTTTCTGCTTGGTGTGATAAAAAGATCTGACATAAGAATACAATGTAGGCATATTAGATAATCATAGTAATATAAGCAAATTGGACAAAGTTTTTGTAGAAAAAAAAATGTACATTTTTTGGTTCCCAAATTGAAGCTATAAACTCCAAAAACTAACTTTACTTGCTTAAATTTAAATTTCAAGATCTTAAATTAGGCATAATTCAGCTTGTATGCCAGCTCGCTTGCTTTATTCGAATTAAGACAAAAAATCAAAAATTTCAAACCGGTTTTTCTCGACACTGGGAAAAGATTTTGAAAATTTTTTAATGTGGTTCGAATCAAGACTGAAATGGCTTTATTTTGATGTATCACTCAACAACTCAGTCTGATCATTGTTTGTGATAACTGATTTAGCGTGGAAAACAAAAGCAAAAACAACAAAAAGACAACCGAATATAAAGTTCCTCCCAATTTTCAATGTCGGACAATATTAAAATTGAAAGGTTTCTTGAACAATCTAAAACCATAAATTTGAGTCCTCTTTATTTATGGCATTATAAATTAAATTACAGCAAATTGTATTCCTTTACAAATACTTAATTTGAAATTGATTCAAATTAATTATTATTCAACATATTTATACTAATCATTTCATACATATTACCTTGAAATTTTTTGACATAATCAATTCTCATTTACTGGTTAGAACATGTATATTAAACGTATATCAAACATATTAAACAGGTGTATCAATCAATTTCTGCGCTAATTTTTGACATGGAAAAAAATTTAAAAAAAAAAACTGCATGCCAATTTCTTAATATAAAAAAAGTGTCTTTGAACTTGACATTTAAGAAAGTTTAGCTGAAATTTGCTTTTTAATACCACAGAAACCCTGAACTCAAGGATTGCAAACTCTTACAAGATCCCATTGAAAACGATGTCTTGCAAAAAATACCAAGTAGCTGTAAATAACAGTAACAATGACCCAAACTATTTTAATAGTTGATGAACTTAGCTCAGATAGTTGATAAATATCTTTGCATTTCAACAGTAATTTGTTTTTGACACTTTTTCGACACAAATCAGCTCAATTCAAGAAAATTGGATATTAAAATTTTTTTTCTATTTTTATGGGTCGCAGTCGCAATGATACTGCAATTCGATTTTTAAGATTTACAGTGAAAATTAGAAAAAAATTTAATATCCAATTTTCTTGAATTGAGCTGATTTGTGTCGAAAAAGTGTCAAAAACAAATTACTGTTGAAATGCAAAGATATTTAAGCTTTTTGTGCATCATTTTTTTCCAATTTGTTTGTCGGCCATAATCTTGAGAAAAATTTTTTGATCAATTTTTGGAGATTAAAGAAAGATTCATGGAACTTGAAAACTGTATGAAGTTACGAAAATGATTTTTTTAAACCTCGAAAAATTAGTTTAGGTGAAGCTAACATGGATTATAGCAACAGCACAAATCCATCGAAATCAATTTGAATTATGTTTAGACACTGAAAAGGACTTATATTTTCTAGTTGCATAATTTAAAGCTATTTTAAGTCCATTTAAATTTTTTATATAGGTTTAGTTAATCCATCCTTTTAAGAACTTGAAGCTCTTCTGAGCATGAAAACAGGCTTTCTTAGAAATTATATTAGTCGAAATCAAAGTGGAAAACAAAGAAAAATCAATATGTAAATCAATCGAAATCATATTGGTGAAAGTCAAACTGTTAATAATTATTACATCGTCTCCAGACCATCTTATTTTTAAAAAAACCTCGACCATTTTGAGCCCTCCTGAAATTGTGGAGCTAATAACAGCCTTCCGAAGAAATCTTAACTGCGGATATCAAGATCATCTTGTTTTGTTGTCAAGCTTGCTTGCTAACGAGATTTGTTCCACAAATGAAAAAAAATGGGAAATCATGCATTCCGGACTTTTCCAATTTTTTCCTACTTTTTTCAAAAACTGTTCTTCACACAAACTCCAGAAACAAAAATTCAAAAAATTCAAAAAATATGAAAATCAGTCTGCATACGAAAAGTTTTTATAAATCATTCAAATTTTAACTTTTTTTCGACAAAATCTAATCATACAATTAACCATATCCTTTGTAATTCTGAAATGAACCAATAAGACACATAAGTATAGTTGATTGTAACCCGTAGGAAAATTTTCTGATATTGATAATAAGCAATTATTTTGCAACAACTTTCACAACATAAACTCTGAATTTAATCATAATTGATTATAATAGCTAACTACCTTTTAATTGAACGAAGTCTTTATTCTCCGAAGATATATTCGCCAGCTTAAATTGTCAGAGCTAGTATTTAATTTAAAAAAACCGCTGATATAATTCATAAAACGTATTGTATTCTGCTTGCGAAATCAAAAGTACCGGATTTAGAGGGCGGTGGGAGGAAGGGTAGCTTCTTTTCTTCAGGGATTCGACTACCTGACTACCCAAAAGATTCCCCCTTTGGTACTTTTTTGAGACCTCCATTTTCGACTGGGTGAGTCTAAAATGCTTCAAAAAGCGTCTGAGGCGCTAATGTATACTGGTTTTGAGGGGAGTGCGCACGCCAAAAAAAATCGCAATTTTTCTTGGTCAAAACTATACGAAAAGTGCCTTAAAACACCATTTTTCAACAGCTTTTTTAAATTGCTTGCTGCACAAAACATTTGGTCAAACAGGGTCTCTTATTTTTCAGGAGAGAGCTCAGAAAGTCTATTTGGTCGACCTGAAGAAATTTTAATTTTCTGATTTTTTTAAAGTCCAACCCCTCTCCTTTTTGAGAGAAGTCTGAATCTGAACCCAGATTGCGGCCTAGATAAACAGACGCAGTTCTTATGTATATAGAGGAGGCTTTCAAAATCTACAAAAATTGAGCATGGGACTATTTAAATAACGTTTTTTTCTCTACATTTTCAGCATGTGCCGCTACCGAAAATGATTTGGTGCCAAATACGGCTCAACAGAATCCTTCTGATTATTTGACCAAAAAATGAAGAGCCGACAATCCTTTGAATGAGTGGAATTTTGAAGTTAGAAGTGGAGATTACAAGGCTAAATCAGTTACAACTTTTTAGAAAGATGGTAATTTTGATATACAGCTTTTGAAGATGCTTAGCAAAATTCAATGGTTCACTTATTATGCCAAAGCGAGTGACTTGAGTTTCGACAGCGAGTTTTTTCTGAAAACTTGGAATTGAAAACGATGGGGAAAAACAAGGATAACCGGTTACTCTGTAATTATCAGAGAATGTTCCGACCATCGTCTTGAAAAATTCTTAAAAAATACAACAAATACAAGTTTTTCAAATTTTTGTTGTTTTTTTTCGAGGTGGTGTGAGAAAATGAGCAAAACAAACAATTGAGGAGAAAGTATATTAGACATTCGAAAATCAACCAATTGAAAATGAATTTTTTTAAAATAAATTAATAGAAAAACGAAAAAAAAAAATTGAAAAAATTTTGTTTTTGCAATTTTTTTGAAATTATGAAAAATTAAAATCCAAAAAGGCTCTAAAATTCTTGAAATAATCTAACGTTACCAAAGTGAAATTAAATTTTCACGTTTTAAAGTAATTATTTTCAGCTTTTAAGCAATTAAACTAAGACTGCTTGCTCACTTTTTTTGCTCTAAATAAGACAAAAAATCTAACAAAAACCTCAAACCGGTTTTCCTTAGCACTGGAGGAATTTTTTATAAAGATTTAAAATTTTGTTGGAATCACGACTTTTACGGCTTTAATTAATATATCACTCAACCCAGTCCAATCATTATTTGTGGTACTTGATTTTGCGCGGAAGTCAAAAAGAAAAAACTAAAACTCAATGGTCGGAACAACAACAGCAGAGAAATAAATGAGCCTAATTCAAGTTTTTTTGAGTTTTTGACGAGCTTGCTTTATTCGACCAAAATTAGACGAAAAATCAAAAATTTCAAACCGGTTTTTTGTTGACACGGGGAAAGCTTTTAAAATTTTTTAATGAGGTTCAAATCACAACTGCAAGTGCTTTAATATGATATATCACTAAGCCAGTCCAACCATTATTCGTGGTACCTAATTTTAAGTGGGGAAACTTTTGAGTAATCCTGATTTTAACTAGACCTGAAGACAACAGACCCGAAGACAAAGTTCCTCCATATTTTCAATAGTCGGAACAACAACGGCAGGATTTTCAGATGCAAAAAGTTTTTGCCAACATCTTAAGAAAAAATGTCATTTAGTAAGCGCATTTTTAGGCATATCGAAAACTATTTGGCATAGCTATTGTGGTTTTTTCCTTTATAACCCATTTGCAATTTTATGTCACAACCATGTATTTAATAAAAAGACTCTTTTACTGCCAGGTAAGTCACCAAATAAGAGGAAACAAAATCTTGAATACGTTTTCTTCAATATAGAACCCCCTTAAACCGTGTCCTAGCTGGTCTTCTAAGAGGTTTACTTTTTGTAACTGTATTCCATATCCATAGTGAGCTAACTTTGTCGCCATATTTCTCAAACTGTCCCTGAAGTCCGCTAATTTTTAGCATGAATCCAGAAAAAAAAATTATTGAGAAAAAAATTAATAGCGTACGACAACGAAAAGCGGTTTACTCGAAAATAATAACGCATTCTGGTCGCGGAGTTCGAGAAAAAAAACGCGATCAAACATATGCTTTTAATGTTTGCATTTTGTACGTATTATGACTTAACATATCAACAGCAAAAAAGTGTTTAATTATTTGGCAGCAGATTCTTTTTTTCGGGGGCTGATTTAGGGGAAGGCGGGGCGCGGAGATGACGCCTCTCCCTCGGGGATTCGACTCCCATACTAACCAAAGGGTTCCCCCTTTGCTACAATTTTACGACATCTAGTCTCGGCCCACTGACACTATACGTTTTCTAAACGCACCTTCGGCGCAAATCTATACTAAATTTGAAAGTGAGCGATTGTTTGGTCAAGCTTTTCCAAAAAGTGCCCAAACATTTTTTTTGGTCTGTTTTTTCATAATGTTTCACGCAGCGCAACTTTTTTTGTCGAAATAGGATTTTAAAACTGTTGTGCATTACGAGGCCAAACCGTGCTTAGGTGCATTGTGAGCGGCTTCCGCAACAGGCCAAAATCAGAGCTGTCGCGGAATCTGCAAGACTGCTATTTTTCTTTGATTTTCTTTGCTATTTTGTATTTCACAAACAACTACCTAAAACACTGTACCGCTCAAAATTGCTCCAAAAATATGCGCCGATAAGCCTCGATTAGTTTTGAATCCAATGCACACTTTAGCCTCGTAATGAGTCGATGTATAAACCAGTCGAAGTATGAACCAGCGCAAGAAACGTAATTGTTGTACATAAGTTATGCAACAATTGTGGAACAGTTTGCAAAAGTTATGCAAATTTTATTCATATGATGTAACTTTTCGGCTGGCTTATATACTCCGCGCATTTTCGGTTGACTTATACTTCAGATGGTTTATTTACCCTCATGCACGTCTGCATGATTTTATCGATAAAAGTGAAATATTTGACTTATATGCAAAATATCATCAGAGATACAATGGTGCATTTGACGTATTGAAATTTGAAATTAAATCAAGAATCGATCCGGATCTACTTAACAATCGCCCTTCCTTTGTTATCTACTTAAGAATTGCCACCCCTATTAATAAAAGCAGTAAATTAGCACTGAGCTTTCTATTGAGAATTATAATTTTGCTGCATTCTGATTGGTCGAAAATGCGTTACTTTAATCTACTCTACAATTGCCCCTTTTCTTAAAAGGGGGGAGGCAATTGTAAAGTAGATCCATGGATCCGACTCATTTTGTGTAAAGCACGATTAAATCCTATATATTACATCAAATCTTCAAAAACACCCGTTTCTGGACGAAATGTCGTCCTAAGTTTCACCAAGTCAAATAATTTTGGATTTCTGGCTGAATTTTTGGGCAGACTTTATAATAATTTTTTTTTTCTCTAGACAATTCAACTCTCATAAAACGCAATCAAAGTTTGGATGTTAGTAAGTTGCAGTCAGAATGATTTTGTTATGTGACTGAAGGACAGAAGTACACAAGCAACTATTTGCTGGTCATCAAGTTGTCTTTAGTCTTAGTCTCTAAGCGACTGTCAATTGTTGTAGAATAAACCAGACCATCACTACAGTCGTAGCCAACTTGTATCTTTCTGCTGGCTTGTCTAAACAAAAACAACGCTTTCAAAAATTGCATTTATCAACTATTTCTACTTAAAAAATGACGAATCAGAATTGACCTCCGAATCAGAATTGACGTCCGAAAAATCGATCAAGTGAAAACTTTTGTATTGGCCATTCGATCCTTCGGCCATGAAAATAGCCCCCCATAGTCATCAAAAGGCGGGTGAAAAGCATAATGTCTTACAGTCCGCTGCTGCCGATACGAAAGTGTATCGGTAAGGCTGTGGAAAGTAAGCTCCTTGGATATACACTAGAAGAATGAACTCATATTTATCAGCTTGGTCGAAGCCCCCCACTTCGATGAAACAGCTCGCCTCTCCTCCATTCAACGTGCAGCCAGGGTCTCTTAGAGATTTCCACAAAGCTGCGCCGAATTCATTGTTTTCGGCCGACCACTAAACACAAATTATCAAAGTTAGCAGGGGTGGAAACTGGATTTTCTCGAGGGGGCATTTTCAAAAAAAAATTCGAAACTATGGTCAATTTTGAAATTTTGTAGGACAAACATTTTCATCATCTCCCGGCCTAAATTTGAAGACCTACTGAAGGATACATTGCTCGTATAAATGTAAGGCCTCGATTGTTTCAACTGGGCTTGAAGCTAATTAAAGTATTTTTTTTGGAAAAAAAAATGACGAATATTTAAAAAAAATCGAAAATTTATTTATATGTATTAATTTGTTTTTATTGTAATTTATATGTATTATTTATTTATATGTATTACTTATATGTATGTATATATTTAAATATAAATACATGTTTGCTTTTTTATTATAATTGTAAATAGCCTAGCCTTCCTAAGTTATCAGATGTGGTTAATTATTTATGTTTGGTCTTGAAGATCGTGTCTGTTTGGTGAAGTTTGTAGCACTTGTGTAAATGCAGTTACAGCATACTTAAGGCGATACCATTGGAAATGTAATAGTAAAATATAATAGCGCCACTCAACAGGTCTGGGTCGAAAGAATATTCCAGTAAACTGCCAATCTGACACAGACACAGAGTAGAACAACCAGTAAAGTGGCTCGAGTGCGTTGTGGGTTTCAAATGACGAAAATTGGTCGAAGCCCCCCACTTAAAGAGAACAGGTGTTTAAGTATTAATTCGAAATAGACCCAGGACGCCAGCCAGACCACTAACACATTTACTTGAAGGAAGAATAGAAGGCGAGACAAACTCTCGCAATCAAGAAAAACCTAGAGGTCGAAAAACCGAA